CCCCCTAGCCAGCCACTTTCCTGTGCCTAGTACAGAGGTCATGGACGTTGGAGGCCTCCCCCCAAACCTCAATGAGGTCCACGATCTCTGCACTATACCAGGTGGGCACCCGCCTCTTGCGGCCCAGGGCAGGGCTGGGTGGCAGCGGGTGGCTGGCTCATGCTGTGCCAGATGCAGAGTCTGCTGGCTGGGTGCTGGCAGGCTTGCCCCTGGCACGGGTACCGTAGCCAGCCCGTGCCCCTTTAAGGGGTCTGAGGCCGGGAGGGGGGTAGACGAGTTTCCCTGGTGTTGGCCAGAGTGGCCACCAGGGAAAGCTGGGGAGGGCTAGCCTCCAACTAGTTCGAATTAAGGGGCTACACACCCCTTAATTCGAACTAGCTAGTTCGAACTAGGCTTAGTCCTCGTACAATGAGGTTTACCTAGTTCGAACTAAGCGCTCCGCTAGTTCGAATTAAGTTCGAACTAGCGGAGCGCTAGTGTAGTGCCTATGAAAGTTAGTTCGAACTAATGTCCATTAGTTCGAACTAACTCTGTAGTGTAGACATACCCCCAGTCTCCCCCCACCCTTGCTGCCTCTCATACAGAGGCAGCAAGGTGGGAGAGCAGGAGCTGGTGCCTCCCCTGGACCATCTCCGCTGGCGAACAGGGGAGGCACAGCAGGGGAAACAGCACGAGCGGCCAGATCCCAACTGCTGCACCTGTGCCCCTGCTGGGCTCTTGTTACATTTAAAAGGCAGAGAGGCACAGCAGTCAGGACCTGTCGTGAGAGCGGACTGCTTGAGTCCCCGCTTGCCCTGGGTTCCTTGCTGCACCTCTGCCTTTTAAAAGCAGCTCTTGCTACCTTTAAAAGGCAGAGATACAGCGGGGTTAGTGAGCACACACACCCTTATTGATTAATTGAGTAATTGATGGAAATTCCATCAACTACTTGATAGCTAATTGAAATTTAACATTCCTAGTCCATACAACTACTATTTTGAAATAATTGCAGAAGACCCCCGACTTGCAACATGATTGGTTCCACGGGAAGCATCACAAGTCGGGCACGTCATAACTCAAACCCACATTTACGATAGGTGCTGTGTACCATTGTAAATGCGGGTCGAGAAAGTAAGTCGAGGGTTTCCGGACCATTCCACACTTACAAAAAATGGTTGTATGTGCAAGGGGTTGGAACTTGGGCAGGTCACAGGTCGGGAGTCTGCTGTATATCAAAATAAGCATTATTCCTTGTGGAAAGCAAAAGTTATTTCAAAATAACGGGCTTGGTAGCGTGGATACTCCATTTGTTGTTTCAAAATAAGGGGAGTTATTTCAAAATAACTCCATAGTAGACCAGGGCTGAGCATGCTATAAATCAGGCCTACAGCTTTTACTCACTGTTAGCCTTATAGCTGTAGGAGAGTAAAGTGAAAGCCAAAGTGGCCTATACAGCCACACACTTGCTAATGAAGTTCCGCCTGCTGCTCATGCATAAGCAAGAGGTAACCTAGACTTCCACAGTCAGCTACAGAGCTGCCAAGCTGTAATAAACATCTTGGTACATTGTCAGAGCACATTGCCAAGTCACTAAAAAGTGAAACTCCACATTGTTTTTTAAAATATCATTTTTGGTGAAGACCTGTGTGTAGATGCCAATGTCCATTTATTTTCAGGCTTTGAGATTTTTATACAACCCATACAGCTTCTTAAACAGCATCTTTAAGAGTTGTAAATTCTATTAGCTAAAACAAAGAGGGTTGCCTGGCCTATTTAAAGTGTAACCAAGATTTTTATGCAAGCTGCGATAGGGCTACCAGAAAGTAATAAAACACAGATACATTAGCCGTAGGCTGAACAAATCCCTGTTACCATAGCAACCGAATTGTTCCAGGTTAATGAAGACACCAGAAGGCAATCTAGAACCTGCTAGAACCAGCTGAGATAAGTTTGAACCGATCAAGGACCAGCTGAAACTAATTAAAAGCATTCCTGTTAGTCAGTTTAATGGTGTTGTGGGAGAAGGATGTGCTGCTGCAGAGCAGGT